TTTATAAAAAATAATTTTTTCACATTTTGTCAAATTTCTCGAATACGGACCATTTTAGGAAAATTTTGTATAGGATAAAAAATATTTATAATAATATAAGTAACTTTTATTTAAAGAATTTTCTTCTCCAAACATAAATAACAGATATATTCCATATAATATAAAAATGACCACCAATAAAGTACCCCCCAGATGTTCCGACTCTGCCCAAAATCTAATCCGTTCCTTGGACGCCGAAATAAAGCTTAAGTTTAAAATTTGGTGTTTTTCTTTTTATCGGTTCATAAGTTATGGTGGATACAGTCACACATACACACACACACACAGACATCATCCCGAAAATAGTCAAAACGGATACAGGGGACCCTAAAACGTGAAAATCCGTCGAAAACTGGAGGTCGAAAAAAATCACGATTCCTATACTTTCCTTATCTGTATACAGACAGGAAAGTAAAAAACAAAGATATGGACGCTCAACGCTTTGAAGATTGGTTTGAAACCCTACTTTCACGGATTGAGTCAAATTCCGTGATAGTGCTTGATAACGCTTCTTATCACAGCCGCTTAGAGGAACGTCTACCCAGTACCCACTATGGCCAATAAAAGAGCGGTGATGCAAGGTTGATTGCGACAAAAGGTAATTTTAACTTTAAATTTATTGATTATTAGAAGACCATACTTTTTTAATTCCTATAAATATTTTAAATTACATCTTGTCCTGTATTTACATTTAAATGCACTTTTTATTTTCCCTGTATACCACTAAATATTTTACAAATTTTATTCGTTATTATTGATTTATGATTGCAGAACTTTTTATAAATATTTTTATTTGTAAAATTAATAATATAAATTCTCATTTCTTGCAAAATTTTTCAGATATTTCATACAAAATAGATTAAACAATATTTAAGGTAAATCAATAAAATCGTGTCAATTAAAGATTATTCAATATTAGCATTGTATCGTGAATCATTGTTACGTCGCTTCATAGGAGGATTATGAGTAATTCTAGAAATACATTGTTGCCGGGAGACCATAATCCATCAATTGTTCGAGTATAAGAACTTTATTCTGTCATTGTGAACCCCCAATATTTCGGACACAAGCCGCCACTGCATCAGGGACAAATAATCTTTAATTTGATATGATAAGCAACAATCATGTATTTTAAAGATTTTATTTGCATAATATTTATAAAGAAGGAAATTCTTCTCTCAATATATGACAATTCTGTTACACATTCCTGAAATTTTTCCACTGTCTATAATTAACCTAGTAGTTTTTTTATAATATTTTCGATAGGTACATCAAAATTTGGAATGTGATTGTTTTTCACGCAAAACTCATGAATTTACTTGCATTCTTAAATTTAATAAAATGAGTATTTACAGAAACATATACAAAATGAATAAGTATTATTGTAATGCGAGCCATTTTATTATTCAGTTATGCTCTAATCCTGTCTTATTTGCCCTTCGAGGCTCAATTTGCCCAATTATCATACATAATTAAACCCCTTAAGACCAAACATATGTGACCACTATGGCGAAGGCGCTTTCCATTATTTTCCAGAACGAACGTGATAATGTTTCTAATTTTGGTAAGAGCATTCTAGAGCACCACCAGAATTTCCAATGTGTATATAAATATTGGTGGAATAACACGGAGCAGTCAGTCGTATACAAATAGTGAACAATTTAAAGACATTCCAAATATAAAGGGTGTAAATAAATAAATGTAAAACATTTAAGGGGGTGATTCCTCATCGAATAAAAGATAGGATCTTTCATATAAAGAAACTTTATTGAAGCATCCCTTGTTAAGATACAGCCCCTTAAAGGGGGTACATAAAATTTGTTTAACACTTTTTTTCACAAGTTCTAAACAAGTTGCAATATTGAAATTAACCTGACATTTTCTACTACCAAAAAGACACTTAGCCAGTAATTTATTTGGTTTACCCCATGGTTGTAAGGGGTGGAAAACGCAACCTCTAAAATTTCGTTCCAACGTTACTTTTTGTCTTATTATAACAATAACAATAAATCCAGTTCGCATTTATGACGATGTATCTCTGTAGTTGTTCGTAAAATAATTTTTTGCTGCGAACTGGTTTATTTTGAGCAAAAAATTCAAGAGAGATTTTTTGTTTAGAATGAAACAGGCTATCGGAAATAAATTTTTAAATGGTAAACAAATAATAAGACAAAAAGTTACGTTGGAACGAAATTTTAGGGGTTGCGTTTTCCACCCCTTACAACCATGGGGTAAACCAAATAAATTACTGGCTAAGTGTCTTTTTGGTAGTAGAAAATGTCAGGTTAATTTCAATATTGTAACTTGTTTAGAGCTTGTGAAAAAAATTGTTAAACAAATTTTATGTACCCCCTTTAAGGGGCTGTATCTTAACAAGGGATGCTTCAATAAAGTTTCTTTATATGAAAGATCCTATCTTTTATTCGATGAGGAATCACCCCCTTAAATGTTTTACACTTATTTAGTTACACCCTGTATTTAAATTAGAATAGTATTAAAATAAATAGGTGTTTAAATAAATTATTCACAAATAAACCGTTGTTTAAAATTAACAAATGTAATCGACACCACTGATAGCGGTACCATTAAATAGAGTTGCTGAGTTAGCCCGTCGGTGATTTACAGAATCGTCACGGAGCGGCTCAACAAAGCAGGGTTGTCAATCTGTGAGTAATTCCTCACATTTGTGAGTAATTTACTAGTTTGTGAGTAATTTTGTGAGTAAAGGGCAATTGTGATTAATATGTGAGTAATCGGGAAGTCAGCGTGGGTATATTCATGGTAGTTAGGCAAAATCCTGATCGCATAATTTATTAAAACCGTGTTCTTTTAAAAAAATTTAATATAAGCCTAATTTTACCCCCTAGCACTTTTAGCAGTCATAACAATTTTGTAGTTTTAAAATTGCAGCGTGCTCTATTGCTTGGTCAATGTAATAGAGTAAAAGTGATTTTGCTGTTTTACAACCCCTAGGTGTCTTGTCGATAGTGATAGTCCCGTTGGGACTGTCCCAATCGTCGATTAATATCTTTTTTTGTTCATTTTTATTAGTAGATTTTTTTTAAGTATTAGAATTAATGATTTATTATGATTTCGCCCATTAATAAAGAATATTCTCTAATTCTCCATCCTTTTTTGTTTAGCTGATTACAAAGATGTTTTATATACAGGGTGATTCATAACTATTGGGACATAGACTAAGGGCAGGTTATTTGTACCAAAATATGGCGATAGAGCCAAATATACCTTAATAAAATATTGCTGTGGAATAAGATACAGGCCGTTAAATAATAATAGTAATAAAAATTTGACACTGCAAAGCAAACTTTTCAAAAATGAAATATTTTGTGAGTTGTTCAATTGCGTTTTTCTCGATAACGGGTAAAATTTCTAATCAAATATACTAAAAAGATTCGTAAAAAAAGCTACCACTTAATTTCATCATCAGGAATCATTCACGTGGCGCCTTCTGTAACAAAATGTGAAATAATATATAAAATATTATTCCTTGTCGAAAAATATGCCTTTGTACCAATTTTGATAACAATTCATAAATATACAGTGACATCAGAAAAAAATGAAAAAACAGAATTCAAATTTAACACCCTGTATCTTATTCCACAGCAATATTTTATTAAGGTATATTTGGTCCTATCGCCATATTTTTGTGCAAATAACCTGCCCTTAGCCTATGTCCCAATAATTATGAATCAACCTGTATATTACTTGGTTATTAAAATAGTGAATGCACAGAAAAAAGGTGCATCTGTTTTGACTCTTGTATGTTCTGAATATTGCTCTTTTGATGATTAGCAACATTGCACAGTAGTAAAATAAATTCAAACAAAAGAGCAAGAGTACAAAATATACAATTTATTTAAAAAAACTAGTAATATTGATATTTTGAAATTGTGAGTAATTGTGAGTAATCCGGAAAAGTTTTTGAGAGTAAGTCGGTAAAGACCGGTTGGCAACCCTGCAACAAAGAAACGTGGCAGAGAAGCTTTGGCATTCCTACTGTTAAATTCGTAAATATATGTTTTAAACTAAATATCGTATATTTTCATCATACTTGGACTATTATTGTTTCTAATACAAACGTCACATTATTTAGGCACATATTATTATATCTCCTTTCAAATCAGATTATTCTGTACTTAGGTGCTAAACGCGACTGACCTATGATCCCAAAAATGAACTTTGTTTTTTCGATCTTTGAAGCATTTATATATTGTCAATAATTTTAACCTGAATATTATTCAAGTATCAAACAGTAAATGATTTTAACCGCATTCGATATTATGTAAATAATTGAATAGATAAGAACTGAATCATTGACATTGTTCGTAAGCATGATATTATATTTGATATTTTGTTTTAGGTTAATAGAGATAGGCATCAATATTGAAATTGAAAAACCATTTATATTAAATAAACTTTCATTCTTTCTGTTTATTTTAGGTTATATTACATTTTTTTTTAAATGGCTTATTATTGTTGCTTTTATATTGTTATATTACTGTTGCTGTGATAGATAATCTTTTGTACACTTATCATAAAAAATGGTATACCTAGAAGCACTGACGATATTTTATCTTTACTGCCTCTGCAGGCAGAATAAAAAACGGCTTGAGGCTTTTTATCCTGCCTGAAAACAGAGGTAGTAAATAAATATGTATGCTTAATATTAATAAAATATTGTTAGTGCTTCTAGGTGTACCATTTTTTATGATAACTAGTATATTTACTTACGTTTATGATTTTTTTATATTTGTTTCATATAATTTTGCGCTTCTGTACACACTGCTGTATTCAAAATAAATTTGATCACGGCAGACGCTTTAGGAGAACATAGAGTCAACAAATCCAATTAAATGCAAGCTAAAACACATTTTGTGCTTTTTGGAAATATTCAGCTATAAAAAATCCGCAGTATATTATTATTAATATTCAATAAATACCTGTGAGATATTACAACAGCAGATTTTTGTAGAAAAACACACCGCCTTGCATGATCTCGTAGACGCTATTCACAACTGGTCGTGCGTATTACGAATTGACGTTGTTTCGAAGGCGTCGCGACGCTTTATATCCCGTAAATTGATACAATCGATAATGTGACGTCACCTGTGGGGGTCACTCCGTGTACAGTCGCGTATCCATTATGCTTTGCGTTTATTTACCCATTTCGCGATTTCTCGTAAGAGGTTGGGTTTGTCCTTGAAGGGGGTACATTTAGGGGTTAGTAACATACAGGATTGTTAGGAATGGATACGAGGGATGTTCGGTAGTAAATAAGTAACGGTACGAAATCATAAAGAGGGCACTGATAAACTAAAACTGTCTTAACTGTCAGTAGAGATTAGGTTATTGATGCGGATAAAGGGGTGAAAGTTATACTCGGATAGCTCAAACAGACTCACCTTGTGTTTCTCTACAAATTGATCGGGAATCAGCCGTTCGGGTGCCCATACACTTCACGTTGTCTATCGGTATACTCGATATAAACGGTGCAAATTGTAATTAGCGACTGCCGGCTGGACACTGTACACACTGTGTACTTATCACACGCTACCGAGCCGGCTTGAGCATAAAAATACGCGAAAAACTAGACCTTATTAAAAGGTACAATATTTAGCCGGGAATAATAAAGAGTTATCTACAAAAAAGTTTATAAAGTACGCATTAGAAAATTCATGTATGTCGAGTCTTTTTCATTTTAAGTTTGAATTTAATTCAGAGCCGTGCGAAGTTATAACGGGCATGGCTTACTTTAGAAACATTTTTTGTAATTCATTCTTTATATACAGGGTGAATCCTAAGTTGATACTTTTTTAACTGTGTATAAAAGTGCTTAAAAAAACTCAAAAATAAGAAATATATAGAATTAAAATCTGGGTCTGGAATAATACATTTTAGCTAAATAATAAACCTGTTTATTTTTACTTTTTTTCGGTTTTCCTAATGAATCGCGCGCATTGTGTATTTTAATTCAGTCGCCATTTCAGTGGTGTATTTATTTAAAGTATAGTTGCCTCTGAATTCGGTGCGAAAATGTACACCAAAAATGCTAAAGGCAAGTTTGGTAAATCATACACTTACGGCGGATTATAATACAGAATAATACAAAAATTTGCTCAAGTCGCTTATTAAAAAGTTACAAATATATTTTTTTATCGAATTTAAAAAATGTGGAAATGAATATTTTATTTGTGTGTGCCATAAGTTCCATTTATTTGTATAATAAATACACTATTTTTTTTTTCTACTAATTCGTAGATATATTATTTTACTTTCTGATAACATTAAAAAATGGTCGATATACAGGGTGTCTGTAAAAGGTCTTTACAAAAACATACCACATATTCCTTAGACCAAAATAAGTCGATTTAAGTAAAATTACCTTAGTACAAAGTTGCTTCGTTTGGGCTCCAGAGGGCCTTGAAGTTACAATTTTTAAATCGTTTTTCCCATATAAATTTAAAACGGCATATGCGATTTTGCTGAAATTTAGTATATTGGTAGAGTTTTATGTGGCAAAAAAAATGGTATTAAAATTTTGTCCGATAATAATACATAGGCGTAGAACTTGATTTTTTAAATAATTGCACCTTTAAAAATTCTACGCCAATGGAAGAAAAGGAGTTTGAGTATGAAATTTAGATTGCGCAACTCATTTACTTTAAAAAAGTTACTCTTGATAAGACTCGATTACTCTCATGGTTTTCGCTAAATTTCTGTTTTAATAATTTAGAGTGTATAGGTTTCACAAAAATATTTATTTACAACATAATCAAAATAGAGATTTTACAAAAATTGTTCAAAATGTTCACCATTTTCACGCATACAAAGATTTATACGTCGAAGAAAATTAAATTGTATCCTTTCCATAACTTCTTCATCACCTCTAAGATTGTTTATTGCATCTTGAATACGTTGCCAGAGTTGTTCCTCATTTTCTACAGGTTCCCTGTAAACTGTGGATTTCAGATGTCTCCATAAAAAGTAATCCATCGGTGTTAGGTCTGGGGAACGTGATGGCCAGTTTACAGGTGCGTCATTATCTCTGCCTATCCATTTGTGTGGATATTGTTCATTCAAGTGGTTTCTAACGTTTAAAGAAAATGTGGTGGAGCTTCATCTTGCATAAACCACATATCTCTCCGAAGTTGGAGAGGTAAATCTTCTAACAATTCTGGCAACGTATTTTGTAGAAATTCCAAATAATTTTCTCCAGTTAATCTTCGTGGAAGTATGACAGGACCAACATTGAAATTACCAATTATTCCAGCCCACACATTAATTTTGAATTCGTGTTGAAAATGGTTTACCTTTATTGCATGCGGATTTTCAACGGCATAAACATGTTCATTATGGGTATTAGTTATACCTCTTCTTGTAAAACCCGCTTCATCGGTAAAGAGAACCTTCTTGACAAAGTTTGGATCTCTTTCTCTTTGCATATTAACAAATCGACAAAAACCCAAACGAATTTGAGGATCATGGACTAATAATTCTTGTACTGGCTTCTTATGGTATGGATATAGCAATTGTTCTCTAAGCACTTTATGAACGACATCTTTACTTACTCCTAGTTCCCTTCCAATTCGTCTGGTGCTTAATTCTGGATCTTCTTCAACACGTTCTAAAATGTCTTCTTCAACTTCAGGAATCCTTACAAAACGTTTTCTTTCATTGTCAACAGTGTTGGGAGCAAAGGAACCGGTCTCCCTAAGGTCAGTAACATATCAGTATATTCTGCATTGGTATATTGTACAGCCATATTAATAAACCACGCATTTGTTTTTTTAATTATTGAGTCAGATAGAACACTTTCAATCGTTAACAAGAGATTAGGTGTTAAAACTTGACAATATTTTTATTTAGATGAAACTATGGAAACCAACAATAAATGTTTTTGTATACATATTGCAGACAAATAATTAATATTCCTCAAAAAATCGTACATGGCAAGAATCGAGTATTTTTGTTAAAAGTCTCGATTAGAGGTGTTGAAGAAGATATGAAAAAATTACGTTTTTATGTTTTTCATCGTATAAAATTTTGTCCGATAATAATACATAGGCGTAGAACTTGATTTTTTTTAGTTTAGTCGTTTTAACCTGTCAGATTAAAACAAGAAAACCGACAATTCCGAAGCAGAAGCGGATGATTAAAACGCACCTATTAAAAATATTGCGCCAAGATGTAGGCAACACGTAATAAGGGTTCAAAATGGCGGAGTTTTCTATCTCCTTTTAAAAGGCACTCAGAAAGCTGCGCAGTGCGACTATTCTCCGTATAGTAAAAGAAAATCAAAGTACGTGAGTAGTAGGGTTTTTATGATACTTCCCATGCCCCCATGCTTTAAATGCGAAAATCCAAAAACCTTGAAATACGTCATTATTTACATTTATGAGTAGCTGCAATTCCAATTTTCAAGTTCCTATATTTAAAAAGGCGAAAGTCTTACACCGTCATCTATTAGGAATTCATAGAACTAACCAATAAATACACAATATTTAGACATTCCATACAAATGAAATGCGGTGCTAAGGTTTGGTATGTTTAAAGGGTTGCGACATACGATGTAGTCTATCTGCATTATATGAAATCATAAATAATGGATGAAATTTAAATATTTTATGTTGAACACAATGAAAATATTATTTTTAAAAAAACCGCTTATACATTTTCTATAAATTGGCAGGCTCGGCGACTAATATTTCGAATAAAAATAGCGTCCAATATGGAAGGCTATGTCGCAACCCCTTTAAATTTACTAACCCTTCCCGCTGTCAGCTATTGTTTGACAGGTCGTTGGAATGTCTAATTGTCGTATAATAAACATTTAATTTGCAATAACAAATATTGAGGTCAATAATTGAGGTAAAAACTATCCTATCTTTTAAATTGGACCAAATTACAGATAGTTACCAAATTTTATCAAAATCCGTTCAGTAGTTTCGGAGTTTATCGCGAACATACATCGTGACACGAAATTTTTATCTATATAGATAAGTAGGGGAGATGTGGGTATAGTGGCCACCCTAAGGTTCAAAAGTCCCGTGATTTGAAATACAAACCAATATGATTATGAAACTAAGTTCGCATTGCAGCTCAAACATTATTAGAGTCTTAGTAAAAAAAATTAAGGCCTTAATTGAAATTTTTTTATTATTACGAAATGTTTTGCAAAATATTGGCAGATGGCCGGCCACTTTACCCCACACAGCGGGGCAAAGGGGTTACCCATATTTTGGGACAAAGTGACCATGATAAAAGTATTCTAAACAATCTCACATCTGCTAAAACAGCATAGTTCACATGTAAACACATCGTCGTCTTCATCGCATCCACCACATTCTTTATGTGTCCATCTTTTGCACACTGAGCAGCATATCCAGCCCTCCCCTTTTTTTGGATTTTGAGAAAAGGCAGTAGAGACACTCGACATCTCCCTGCGCATAATCGTCACTGCTGCTCGTGTCATCTTTAACAAGAATTTTTGATTTCTTTTTCGGAACCTTGCTTTTAGTCTTCTTACTACCAAAAAGTTGCCTTTTAACTGCTTCTGGTTTTTTATATTCCTTTGCTATTTCCAGCTCAGTCTTATAAGAATTTTCTGTGATTATTGCGGTAGAACCTCTTTTCCTATTATTTCTTTGCGTTTCTAACCGATGTCTTTTGGACTGACGAGTAACCCCGAGCAGCTTGGTCCACTATTTTGGATATCATTTATGTTTTGATCTACAGGTCGTTTGTTAGTTTGCGAGGTTGAAGGAATTGGATCTGTTACACCATTTGCTTGCTTGCCTTCATCATTTGAGTTTTCGTTCTCCGGATGATCTTCTCTGACTTCAATGTCTCTATCAGTAACTTCAGCTGAGCAAAATCTGCATCACTGAACACATGCGGATTATACGGAACAATCCCATTGCTGCTCGAAGATGCGCAGCAGCAAAAAATTTTCTAACTTAAAATTGTGATACGGTTCTTCCTGGGTTATTCTTAAGATATTTTTCGATCTGTTGAACATAAAACGTA